CCCCCCCCCCCCCCCCGCCACCCGTCAACGTCCTAACCTCACGACCTCCACTCTCGAGCAGCATTTGCTGACTGAAAAGCACACTTCAACGACCCCGAACGCCTTCGTTCACCTTCGGCAACCTGGCTACCTTACCTATACTCGCCACTTCGTACCCTCCGACCCAAACGTTCAGCCAGTCTAATCGGATTCTCTAGTGAGATTCACACTTGGTCACGCAGCCATTCGCCTATTTACTCGCAAGCTCATACACAACACGCGCGCGCGCGCGCGCGCAAACACCCATGCTAACATTGCCAACGGCGAGGATCCCTGCCAAACACACCAAACAGTCTGACTGATCTAGACTCTCATCACTTTCACTCCACCTTGTAACCACATTCACCGTGTGCGATACAGCAAAACTATATTACAAGATAAAATTTCGTTTGAGTGATATATATATATATATATACATATATATATATATATATACATATATATATATATATATACATATATATATATATATATACATATATATATATATATATACATATATATATATATATATACATATATATTCTTTAAGCTTTTCAATGCGCACGTTCATCATAAAGGGATGGATGCATATTCAACGCGTCAACAAGTGGTATAAACGATTAACGACAAAGTCCTGATTAATTACTGTTGCAGTCGGTAAACAGGCTTTCAAAACGCTTGGGTTAGGTTAGGTCTGACAATAGCGATTCAAATTGAAGTTTCGATTAGGGGCTAAGTATACCGGAGTGCAGTTTTATCTGCGACCACCGTATAAATAGAGTGACACGGTGTAGGTATATTTTTATTTTCCCTGCTGACGAGATCAACAAACAAATACGCAATGGACTCTTCCCGATACGACTCCATAAATATTCCAGTGTCGTTAATCAAAATTCAATTGTCACGCGGATCCAATTAATATGCACTTTATCTGCACGTCATAGAATGTCATATCCGTCGATACGAACAATGAAAGATGCGTGCGCTTGGATCGTGCACATCGAAATCGATATATCGACGTTTACTCGTATTTTGATCGATTTCCAATAACAATCGATAGTCGTACGAGTAGGTGTAAAAAGTTGTGTAATTTAAATACCGCTTATTAAATCCTAGTTACATTATCGTGCGTAGATGCAATTTGTACGATTAATTATACTTAAGGCCGTTTCATTTTTTTTTTCTTTTTCTACAGAGAGAAAAACCATGACGAAGAAACGTTTCAGTACCGTCGTAAAATTAATGACCCATGAAAGCGTGAAGATTCGCGTCAAAACTTAAATCCCGCAAGGTTGGTACTACGAGTCTTAAGATTAAAATGTTATTAACGAAGAAGTTAATGGAGGCTAGTTGAGAGCGTTTATTGGTTTTGCCGGCGAGACAAGAAATTACGTTAAAAAAAAAATGAAGGAAAAGACAAGTGCAATGGTTCATAGGGGAACAAAAGTCCCTAGGAATGAGTGAGGATGCACTTGCTTTGCACGATGCAGGGATACCGTTTGACGTGGGCCACTGTGAAATGTTTGAGGTTTGCCAAGATGAGAAAAAAGGGGAAAAAAGATGTTCAATGAATTTAAAAGCAAACGAGAGGGCGAAGATTCAAAATGGCGGGGATGTTGAGATTACAAGTGCTAAGGGTGGTCTGGAGGCAAAAGGGGAGAGTACCTCAACCGTCAAGACCTAGAATCAGTGCTTCGACGATATTGACTTGCTAATCGTCGAATTTGCCATTCAAATGAATGCACGCTTTGGCTCCGGCCTATATATCCCTAGCAATGATCGCGTTTGTGTATTAAACGCTGAAAAAATTAACGTGACAATTTGTTATCCATATAGCGTGGCGATTTCAGTAGACTTTCCAAGCCCACAAACATCCCGTGAATAAACGTGACCGCGTCTACGGAATTTAGCACCGATATCTTTATACTGTTTTAAAGACTATGAAATACTATACAGGATGGACCACGGATCGTGATCAGTAGAGATTACTTTGTTATTAGCAGTCCGATCGAAAATGTTTTTATCAGCTTTTGCGTGGTTTCAAGAGAGCTTTAACGTGATAGTGAAAAATTACTGGTCAACTCTTTTTTTAAATGTTTTTTCAAGGTTACCTTGAATTTTTTGCAACTGAACATATAATTTTTTTACGCCTGTCTGTTAGAGGATTTCAAGACGAATCCGGCACATGTAAGGACATGACATTTTTTTCATCTGGTTCGAAAGAAAATTAAAAAACTAAATACTCCTTATCACAAGGAGGATCACAGCTACGCCGTTATACGCATCCATTCTGTCGTCTTCAGTCGCCATCAGTGTAGAGGAGAGGCCATAAAGAATGCAAAACAATCTTTTGTTCACCGTCTACGCGAGTGCATTGCAGCTCGTGGACACCATTTTGAACATCGCTACAATTAAGACTCGTAAATTTTGACTTGTCAACAACATTGGTTGCGTAATAACGGCGTAGCTGTGATTCTCCTTGTGATACAAAGTAAATTTTGACTT